TGATAATCTTTATTCGACTTTCTACTTTCAAGATCAAATTTTCTTTCCATATACTAAAACTTACTTTCTTACTTAGGCCTGTTACTCCTCGAGGAGGAGCATAGGCCGCACGCCAGTATTCTCTATCCAACCATGTCCCAAGCAATCCTTTCCAGTTCTTTCCAGTTAACATTCATCATATTCATATATACCTCTATTTCCCGGAGTAATGTGTTCTTCACCCGTCCACTTTTCTGCTTTCCTTCCGGATTCCAAGTTAGGGCTTGCCTCGTGATGCAGTTTGGTGATTTCCTCAATATATGTCCAATCCACTTCCAACTTCCTTTCCTAATTTCCTCTTCAGCTGGAAGCTGATTTGTGCTCTCCCATAAAACGCTGTTGCTGATAGTGTCCGGCCAGTGAATTTTGAGTATTTTGCGAAGACAACTGTTTATAAATACTTGTACCTTCTTGACGATGGCTGAAGTAGTTTTCCAAGTTTCAGCTCCGTACGGCAGGACTGTATTGAAGATTCTCACTTTGAAGTTAGTTAACAGTCGTTTTGAGTTCCATATATTCTTCAGTTGTAGAAATGCTGCCCTTGCTTTGCCAATCCTTGCCTTTACGTCTTCATCAGACCCTCCTTGTTCATCGATGATGCTCCCCAGGTACGTGAATGTTTCCACATTTTCCAGAGTTTCTCCATCAAGTGTGACTGGGTTGGCATTCTCCATGTTGTATTTGAGAATCTTGGCCTATTGGTGCAGAGGCTGCTGTTACATACTAAAAGTATGGATGATATTAGAAGTTTACTTGCATCCATATGAAATGATCAGAATAATAAACAATAAAAGATTTCATCTCTATAGTACTTTGAATTTCAACCATCGTTGACTTGATCCACTATACACCAATATGATAATTAGATAATTGAAATTGATAATTGATAATTGAAACTTTCCAGTAAAGAATACTTGAGAATTTTAGGTAACCTGTTTTGATAGAGGAGGTCATCTATAGTCTGAATTGCTTAATAGCCTAATCTTTCGTTATGATATCGAGCGATATGAGTTTTGAAACACTGAGAGAGTTCGACTAATATCATAAAAATTAAAAATATTTTTTCCTAATGAATATCTGTCAGTACGATATATAGATCCAGTGATTCACATAGGTCACCTTGAACTATTTAATGACAAATAATAGTGTTTTAGCATACAGGTCACATTAAAAACTCTATAGATTTAATTCATTCATTATTAAGGATCAGGAACAGAAATATATTGGACTTTAATTGATTATGAATTCAAGTGGAAAATCAGTTTCATTCATGTGTCTATTTTATATCTACTAACATAATACCGAAACATATGAAAAGAATGTTCTGGAATATGAACTAAACAAATCAGTATGACTTATATTATATACTTATATTACTTAGTCAATTAATATTACCCTTCAATCCTATCCACTTCATGTTAGTCACTGCATTACAACATATGCAGTATAAAAATTAATCAATCATTGAATATTCCAATAGATTATTAAACATAAATTTTAAAAAAACTAATTAACTGAACTGAATTATTACAAATAAAGATGGATAATGGCTAGCAGTGGAATCCAGGACGAGTGTGTCGTCCTATTTGGGACTCGTCAACTGGATTTACCTGCATCTCTGAGTTGGTGTTCACTCTGGGACTCGAACCCAGTACCCTTCGCCGCTAACGTCATCGCGTTATCCACTTAGCTACTGAGTCCTGATAGGCATTTGCTTGTGCAATTGGGTGAAGTTTAAATTCAAGTAGTATTGTTTGTTTGAATCTTCCCATTGATGTTTAGGACCGTAATTGATCAGTATCTTATTGACGTATGTGCATACTGTGAGTAATGCCTCGATATAGCCTTAATTCTCCAGCATTATAAGTAAAGATGGATAGTGGCTAGCAGTGGAATCCAGGACGCGCACTTCGTTCTATTTGGGACTCGTCAACTAGTTTTACCTGAATCTCAGAGTTTACGTTCCCTCTGGGACTCGAACCCAGTACCTTTCGCTTCAAACGTCACTATCCACTATCTTCGCCATATCGAGGCAATACGCACAGTATGCACATATGCTAATAAGTGACTGATCAATTGCAGTCCCAAACATCAATCGGAATATTCAAGCAAACAATACTAAATGAATTCGGACGGCATTATTGTTGTTGTTTTTGTTTGTTTGTTTGTTTTCCTTTTTTGCAATATTTACTTATTTATTTATTTAATTACTTTTCCTCTTATATTCTCTCACTGTTTCATTGTTTTGTTTCCCACAGTATTGTTTATTCATTTATAATAACTTTACATTATTATTATTATTATTGTTCCTTTTTACAAAGAATTATCTTCTACTATCGGTAATAGTGATGTATGAATGACAGTTGTTTTATTCGTTACAAAGCTACGACATATCTGATCAATTGTTGAATGTAGGTAAATGATTGTTTTTGTATGTAGATTCATAATGACAATAAGATTTAAGGTAAACAGTGAATAGTCGTTTACTTTTTTTGAAACAAAGATTGCCGATTATTGGCATTAATTGATTACTATGTTTTCTTTTTTCCCAATGATTCATTAGATTAATTTTATTTAGAAAAGAATAACATTGAAATCTTTCAACAAATGTCCAAGAAATAATGATGGTCAATTTATTCAGAGAAAATGAAATTCTTTTAATTTTAAACTATTTATAGAAGGTCGAGCATACTAAACAACTGTGTAAACATTTCCTCGGTGGGTTCTAGTTTGAAGTTGTGGAGATAAGCATAGCGAACCTATTTCGTAAATAGTTTTTGATATTATTCGCATTTATTTTGTACACTCATCACAAAATGATTGTATATGTTGTTTAAGTGTATGTCCTTGAACACGCTTCCTTCCGTTTTTGAATCCCATATAGCATGACACTGTTAACCGCTCATAAATACACCGTTATACACATGCCTCTCGTTCTCCATTGCCTGTGGTTATGATAATCGAACTATAAAATAACTTTTATCCATATTTATATACTGTGGTAACATTTCCATTATATTCTACGTCTTGCTATATTACTGGAGCCATACCAATCTCACTAGAATTATTAATTATCTAAAATTGTGGATTCTGATACCAAACGCAATAGGACATGCACTAATGAGCTGATTTAAGTAACGTCCCTTAAGTTTTATTTGTGTTCATAGTTTCTAAATTGTATACTATTATATTTGCATTTGAACATAATAACTTTGTTGCCGTTTTTGGGTTGATATACTTTTTGGTCCGACACAAAGTGATATGTAAGCTCACAACTACAGAATATTTGTCACAAGTCAACGAAGTTGGATAATTTCAATGATATAGCCTTACTTACGTTTTATATTATGTTCTTATAATGTTCAAAGTTTTTGATAATTCCTTGAAAAACTCTCTAGGAGCTTAAGGTAATGTCGAAAACACTTTGACCAATCAATGCTTTCTGAAAATCACTAAGAATCTTTTCGTTCTTCTGAGCGAATAAATGTCGAGTTTTAAAGCAGACTTTTCACTCTTTTTCGAAGCTTCTGTGATGTCAAGGTCACCCAAAATCCTATGACTTTGTACATAATTTGATCATCTAAGTATAGCTTTTGTTTTTCGTTTTAAATTCGAGATTGAAAGAATACTAGGCACTAGGAAGTCAGTCTTTTAAGTATTCGAAGCATCGAACTCAATATACTAATATCCAATATATGTCTATTTTTATATAGGATTAATATTGCCAACATTGTTATCCATGGCTATATTCAATATTATATTTTTGGTACACTAAAGAATTCATAACACGAAGTATTTCGTCAAATTAAAACACACACATTAACTATCTACGAATGGCTCAAATGTCAAATAAGAACAGAGTTTAATTGTATGAGAACATCTCGTTTTTGCTAGAAATGACTAATCATGAATAATCTTAATTTATTTGATTAAATTTCTTTTTCTTTTCTGTAAGTATGAATGTCAGTGTGTGTCGTTTGACAAGATTGTAGTCTTTAAAACCCAGTCAAACCAGAGGTCGAGAATAAAAGATTGCCCACTCATGATCTGATGGAGATGCTTGGCCAAACGCCTTTAGCTAAGGTGTTTCCGTAAAACAGAAGAAGGTAGCATGGATGTCGAAAATTTACTGAACTATTCATTTTGAGAATTCACTTAACTATTTAACTATTTAACTAAAATTAACTTGTGATATAAATTTATTTAACTAAGTTTTTCGGGTCATTCTGGCTTGGATTCTCAGAGAGTGCGATTATGGTAGTTCTGAAAACCATTACGAGATAAAAATCTCTCAAGTAACTAAAGTGATGTTACGAAAATGTTTGCGATTCAGTTGATTTACTCACGGACTGAAATACTATGATCATAAAAGTCCTCAACTTTACAGATTTGAGTAGATTGCCGTTTTGGTGAATAATATAATGATATGTCAATTTAAATTGATTAGCGGCCACATTTCAAGTTGTTCGATAAAATCCTAGTAGCAATAATATCTAAACAAACACGACATTGATCACTATTCAGTTTTCGGCCAACCCTGAATAACTCAGTGATAACGCCTCTGATTGTAAGCCTGAGTAACCGCAGATAAAATCCTATAGAAAGTACCAGTTTTCTCAAGGCTGTAGGTGGGTCTTTCTCACAAGTGTTTAGGGCTCCTCATCGAGTAAGCTCAGCTACCTCAGAGGATGGAAATATATCGGAAGACAAGAAAACTTTATGAAATTATGAATTACAAAAGATATGATCAAAAATCTATTTTTTAGCACTAAGACGATCAATAATAAAATCTACTTTTCCTAAATTCAATTTAGTCACTATTATTTTGGACCTGGATCTTTCTGAGAAGTTTTCAACAAGGACTGTAACCATTGTTCAATGCCTTATGGTATAGATTGCTGAAAATTTAATAATCTACTAAATTATTCATTATATTAAATAACGATTCATTTATAATTTACCTGAAATATTACTTGTGCTTCACGATCAAGTTCAGCTGAATTCACAATCCAACCCATAATTGGATCAATTTTAAAATACGGCACAAATAATTCATTCTCTTGTAAACTGTAGTATATTTGTGCATTCACGCCAACATCTTTGTCAACTGCATGTATCTAATAATAAAATAACAAAGATCTCAACTATAGTATCTTAAAGGAAAGTTGAATTAAACGAATGCATATATTGTTTACCTTCTGAGAATTCCAAAGAGGTTGTTTGAGTTAAGAAGAAAAGAGGGAGAGGTAAAGAGTGGGGAAAAACAACAGATTCCTAGCCAGAAATGGTATTACGTAAAACGTAGATCTATCGAAATGTCAGTTATCCCCAAATTATGGTAGTATTTGATGAAAGTACTTATCAGTTGTATAGCTAGTTGTTGAAAGTCAAAAAGTGGATTTATACAATTTGATATACTAGTTAATCCGAAACAAAAACAAAAAAACAGAATAATGTAGAAAGTGATACAAAATTAGCTCAATACTATGATTAAAACATACTACTGACAAAGCCTTTAATTCTTAGAGCAATAGTAAACAGCTTAAGACTGTATAAATTGTAACATCCAGAGAAAAATGATCCAGTAATTTAAGAGAACAAATACTTCCTCATACTTTAACATTTTTCCTCTTGATAGTATGAATGTGTGAAAACTGATGTTTAAAGAAAGTTATTCATGGTTTAGTGAATACCCTTAACCAGATGAAGTACTTAGTAAAATATGCATGCTAAGAGATAAACCAGAATGTAATGACACTTGAAGAACTGCCGTGTCATGTATATATTCACATAATCAGACTATTATGTTCAGTTATAAGAAAAGTTTGAAACCACATTTTGTTAATGTGACTAGGCTTTATACTCTGAAAGCTTGGTCGACTGATCCAAGTTATCTAGATTAGACATTTTTTAAATTATTCTTCTACATTCACTTGTTCTTTTACCATTTGTTACTTATTTATTACTTAGATAATGATTTTTGAGGTTACTTGTAAATAATTATATCATCACTCTAGTGAATCCAACTTTTACAACAATTAACTACGTCTTCATTCGTTATTTATTACCAGAAGTCTCATAGATTTCATAGGTCTGGTATTTCCTGTCGACTGTCCCAAACCATCCAACGTGGTCAACCCTATATATTAACTCAACCTAAAAAATTTCTGAACTCTCATCATCCCAGGTTTGACTGTAATGTCAGAAATAAATTTTAAATGATAGCCAAATATTGTTACTTTGGTTGTTATCTCTAAAAAAAATAACACAACAATTTAAGATTAAACAGGTATTTTTCTTCAATTCGATTAGGAATTAATCACAGGGATTTTATGTGCTCATAAATAAGAGACAGCGACATTATCAATTAGTGATCATAAACAGTACCTTTTAAATAGCTGACAAACACTTATCTTAAATTGTAATCAATACATAATCCAATGATCTTTAGGTCGATACCGTATAGGGTCGTTGAAGAGTCTTAGCGTTTAACGAAATGCAGCATCAATATTGCTTCAGTTTATGCCAGTTGACAATGAAAACTAACTTCCATTCAATCGACTCAAATATCAAAGTTCGTCGTTAGAAAACGTTTGATTTACCCCTTTGTTGATATTCAAGACTAAGTTCTTATCAGTCTTAGCGAACATGTGCATCCTGAGTGACTTATCTCAGTATTACCATTCTTCACAGGTTTTCAAAATAGATAGATATGATTAACAGTGAGATATCTATGATGCACATTTGTAACTCACCATCAGCCTGTAGCTACATCCCAACCTTCATGTACACGCCTATGGATGAACTAAAATAGTTTTGTTGACAAATCCAAAATATACTGAGATGCTCATCCTAGATCCCTCAGTTAACCACAATCCACCTATTCTATTCCATTCCTGTCACAATTTATTAAAAAGAATTGGCTAAAATTATTTTAATACTAAACCAGCAATAAATTGATAAGGTGTTTTTTAGTTGTCTAACCTGAATGTCACAGAAATTTGGGTGATTCAATGCCTAGGTCATAGAAAAATCAAAAAAACCTTCCATATGAATTCATTATTTTTAAAAAAAAAAGCCGATTCATCAGTCGCATATTTTGTATTATACATAAACTAATGTAAACAATTTTTTTACTACAGACAAACAAAATAAATAAGCAACCACTTAATACTCAACTTTAATTAAAATGACTTAAATGAATTAAAATGAAGTTTGAGTAAGATGTGACTGGGTTCTCGTTTTTTTTTTGTTTAACACAACCTTAACATGAGGTCATTGTTAAAAAAAATTGATGAATTAAGTTTTGGATTAAATAAATCTAATATACAAATTATGATTGTAACCTTAAGGACAATTATGTTATCAGCCATTAAGTGCACATGTCTTCCTGTCTAAATTATGAATATTGAACATTTAGAATAAATATGATTTATAGTTGAATTCATGAGTCAATTGAAGCTAGACTAGCATAGGAAACCTGAAAACACTGAATGGCCATTTCATCCTATTGTGGGACTTCTTAGCAGTGGACATCCACGATCCCGCCTCACGAGATTCGAAACCCAGGACCTATCGGTCTAGCAAACGAATACATGACCTCATGACCACTGAGCCAGCATACAACGGTGTTAATGTCTAACTTCAACCAATGCACGAAATTGAGCAACCGTCCACTACTGTCCCTAGTGAGTAACCACCACACAACATACCAGGTTGAACTCAACTGGTCAGTGCTTCTCACTAGAAATCCAGTAAAAACCTTTTGAAGCCAGTCACTACTGAGCATATGATTATTATCAGTGGGGGTTGAGATTTGACATTGATACTATTGAATTTCAACTCAGTGGTCTAGAGGTTAAGCGCTCGCGCGTGAAACAGATAGGTCCAGGGTTCGAATCTCGTGAGGCGGGATCGTGGATGCACAATGCTGAGGAGTCCCATAGTAGGACGAAACGGCCGTCCAGTGCTTCCAGGTTTTCCATGGTAGTCTACTTTCAAATGACTTATAAATTCAACTATAAAATTACAAAAATTTCCACAAAACCCCTACTGAAACTATGATTTAGTTTAGGAATAAATTTGTCCGTATTCATTAATTTTTCTGTTTTGTTATTCTTAAAATATAAAAATTATATAATTGAAGTAATTTGAATTTTCGAAAAGAAAATGTGTTTTCCCCTTTGAATTATCATTTATTTATCCTTAATAACATAAGTTACATAACATATAAAATCAAATGATTGCTATAAATAACTGAACTTTTTTTAATGATTGCCTTTTATCCATAACTGAAATGATCGTTTTCAGTTCAGGTGAATAGTATTGGTAGTATTGTGTTTGTTGGTTATTCGGTATTATTGTAAATAAATAGAATAAGGTCTACACTATATGAAAGTGCACTTTTCAGTTATTTCACAACTGTTATATTATGTCATTCTGATAGAACAAAATCGAATATATAACTAGATGGATTATGTCTAGCATTGAAATCCGGGACAAGAGTTTCATCTTATTTGGGACTTGCACTCTGGTTCTGATCTTCCTAATATTAACGACAATCCATTTGTCCTGCAATATGGACTGATCAAATTTTAGTAAATAATACCAATGATAGTATAGCTCAAATCCTTTCTAATAATTATATAAAACCAATGATTTCAACCAATCATAACATGATCATCAGAACAAACGGATTTGACGCTCATGGAAATACCAGAAAATTTACTTCAATATAAAATGAACCTTGAAAATATTTGTAGGTACCAATACCAAAGTTGTAATTGAGAATTGGGTAAAAAGTTAATTACCATGTGCTAACTAGTAACTAACTTCGTGAGGGAATTCTCGACGTTCTAGTAAGAAGCCGTGACCAGTAGAGCTAAACCGTGTCAGGTAGAGACAGGTCATTACCTCAGACAATGGCAGATGAACGCGATTTCGTGGATTGGTTGAAGTTAGATATTAACACCGTTGGATATTGGCTCAGCGGTCTAAAGGTTAAACGTTCGCATACGAGACCGAGGGTCCTTGGTTCGGGTGTCGCATGGAGGGTCGTGGATGCCCAATATTGAAGAGTCCCACACTAGAACAAAACGGCCGTCTAGAGCTTCTGGGTTTTCAATGGTGGTCTTACATTGATCGATTCATGATATCAATTAGAAAGTTAGTAATAAACATATTTTTCTTTATTATATCCCAACAAATAGAAAAATTGTATTTCTGACATTTTATGACTTAATGTAAGCCACTTCTTCAAAGTTTTACTTACCCTAATAATATTGTCCAGGATGACGCTGGAAATTTTGCAACTAAACCGTTAACCCAAAAGATTTTATTACCAAAATACTTCTATACTATTTATATGAATGTTCATGAAATTTACACGATTATTTATCAATTATGTATGTTAGATTAACTGGTCATCACTTAAGTCAATCCAAATGTTCTCATTTGCATTCGAACTTAAAAGCGTTATCTAATCAAGGGCGTATATGGAATAAAAGGTGATGTTATATGGAAATTAAACATACATTAATCGAATGAATACTACACGAATCAGCTTATTTTATCTGGTATTTTTAATCATAATTTATATACCATTTTAGCTTACTTCTCAAGAAATATCTTGGTAGATACAAGATATTTATTACTCAAATTGTTTTCCTTTCTAAAATAATTTTTACAAATTCAGTTATATAATATACCCTGATGGACTGGGGTAACTTTACATTGATTTTCAGGAGAGCCGGACACCATCCAGACTTTCACGTGACAATTTAAACAGTACAGCTTAATCCCGTTTAACGGGAGAACCAAACAACTCTGAGGCTTGAAATTTATAGCCCGAGCAGTACAACTCAACCCCACTTCACAGGAGAACCAGACGTAAAGGCTTTGACGTCTCAATCTGAATAGTACAGCTCAGTCCTTTGATGCAACCACACAGTCACCCATCACCCTGGTGGACCATTCGCACCATTCATATACACAGATACATCATATGTATAATTATTCTGATCATTGATGGCATAAATCAATTGTGCGCTGGATGAACAGACCAAAGTTGACCTATTCAGCTTACACGACAATCAAACTCATTACTGTTAGCAATGGC